TATTAGCCAATCAGGTCTTGAAACGTCACAAAATGATCTACAAAAATTAGCCAATCAAAATGAAAGCCCGCTATGCTCAATTTTGATAGATTGTGAGTTGGTTGACAATATAGCTTACTGATAGTTTTTTTTAGTAAACATGATTTTTTTTGTTTACTTTTAGCGATGGTGACGCTAATATCATCGGAACTTACGACAATAGGCCAATTATCAGCATTAGTAACATTAGTTCAGTATGTCAATCACTTGCAATATATACTTCGGAATTATAAAGTGCTTCACACTTATTACGAAGCTAGACCATTTCGACGAATTAAGCTTGATAAATATATTGGAAAACAAAAAGCCCTGTTCATCTTATGTCGAAAAATAATTGGATGTAAAAAGGATATTTATAATAATGCAATAGTTATTGCTTTTGGTGCAGGTTGTTTCTCATCCTCTTCACGAGGACATGCACCAGGCCCTGTAAAACAACTTTACAAGGAATTGAAGAGGCGCTGCTTACAAAACGAGTTTCTGAATTTCGAACATCTCAAGTAAGTTTTAAATTTGTTTTTTATTGGTTTGCTTACTGTACTTCGTTTTTGTATCAAGGTGTACGCAAATCATTTATTTATTTGTACTTTACAGATTTGTTCCAAATGTGGAAGTTGGTTCGATAAATCACAAGCTTATGCTAAAAGTTTGTCGAAAAGCCTGTTTAACTTTGTGGAATCGGGATGTAAATGCAGCAAGAAATATTCGAAATGTTTCTAAATACATGTGTGACAATAATGGGGAAAGGCCTGAGGAGAGTTTAAAATATTTTAATTCCAGTTATACTGGTTACCTGCCGGATCGTAGTGGGAATTGCTTAGCACTTAATGGGTGAGTAGCTTAGAGAGTAATGATAACAATCTCGTAAAATTATGGTCATTCTAGTAGCACATAGATACTGTATATGTACTGTATATATGTATGTCGATTTTCGAGTAGTGTTATAGGTCAATGTTGCAATAAGGGTAATTTTGTTTGTATAGAGCGTTATAAATAAAGGCCATTTCGGCCCATCGAAGTAAGTCTCCTTTATTATAAAACTCAAAAACCAATTATAATACATGTCGCAACTGAAGCAGGAAAATTTTAATATGAAATTTTCAAAAATTTTGAGTGCATTTTTTAGCTCTTCTTTTATAGTTAGCTTAGGATTTAAGGATAGTTTCGATAATATAAGTGAATTTTGGTAGAGTTTATATTTTTAAATCGAGGTCCTAATTTTCAGCTTCAGTCATTTCCAGTCGCGACAATACATAAACCCTGTTACGTACAACACAACACTATAATCGCTGAATAGATTAGTGGGTCCACCAAAATTCAGCAAATCGGCCCGAATTTAGGGTCAGGGATGGGCCGGATCAAAGTGGCATTAAGCAATAATACCGGCCGACTATATTATAGCAAAATTATCATTTGGGCAGCTTTACTTAGTGCATAGGTTGCCACTTTATTAGTAAAATTTTGGGTGATTTTAGAAAAAATTTATTAACTCCGGCCTATTCCGACCCAAATTCGGACCGATTTGCTGAATTTTGGTGGACCCTCTAATCTACTCATAAGAATAATGAATAATCGCTAAACCTATATACATCGCACGCACGACTTTATCGCGCGAGTTCGCGAGTCTCATGTGATAATTCATTTTAGAATATATAATAAATATTTCATTAAAAAATTTCTTAATCGAATAGTTTATCTCGTGAGAGTCGCGAGAGATCGTGGGTGCGATAGTTTTATCATTTCGCGCGAGGTACATCTCTAGTCCGACCTCTATTGCACTGAAACATTTTAGAGGATATTTAGTATTAAAACAAAAAAAAAAAAAAAAAGAAGCAAATTCGATCATTGCTTACTGTCTTTTGTAGGCACGCTTTTACCTCCAGTTAATGGCAATGGACTATGATATGCTCTGAAAAAGATATCAATGGATATTGACCATTAGGTCAATGGACATAGTCCATTAGTAATTACTAGCCATTGATCAATCCTAGCTTTATACGATAATTTATAAGGAAGCCGAGTATTATGGCATTGGGTATTAAAGTGAATATTTTTTGATTTATCTCCGGACAAGAGTTCGACATATAAAAATAGGGCACTGGATAATGCTAAAACTAATGTTATCACTTTTCTTTTCGATTTGGTAAAAAAATTTTTTTGCCAAAATTTTGATTATTAGTGTTATCAATAAACTGAACAAAAAGTCTAGGCATTTTACATCAAAAAAGAAATACTAATAAACATTTATAATTGATTCATTAATTTGAAATTGTGTAACTGAAAATAAAATAGAAGAATGTTAATAGATGCACGCTGTTCATATGGATGTTTTTTTATACATATATCCTTAAACCTTTTCTACTTTGAGTGGTCCGTTTAGCCAGTGCTAAGGCTTTGAGTGGTGCACGTCGGTTACGGTTGACCCAACTTTTGTTTGGTACACATTTGATTAGGTTTTATGGATTTTCTATATTCGAAGAAGTATGTATCTCGTACATGTTTTGTTGTTTAAGCCGGGAAACGCTCTTCTGACACAATTTACACGTTTGGAAGTGAATATGACCGAATTCGAAAACTTAACGTTTGTAAAAATAGCCTTAATTACATTTATAACCACCCTCAGCATATTAAACCATCTCAAGTAATTGTGGATGTTTTATTTTTTATTTGACTTTTTTTTTCTTTTTTTTTTTTTTAGTATCAGCAAAATGAGATTGAATGTGTTTGGTTAGTTCTAATTATATGTACACAGATATTATTGGACAAATGAGCCGCTGTAAATGTAGACAAAAGCAGTATACTGAACAAGAAACGTACAAATTTAAGGGAATGAAATAATAAGTGAATAAACAAGAAAAAAAAGTAATAAAAGAAAAAAAGGATCCAAACAGTCTGGTATAAGAATAAGGGAAAATATATTTCAAACCATTCAATTTGTACGGGCCTTCTTGTGGGCTTCTTCTAAATAAATAATGATTTGTGATTAATTACGTATTCAACTATTTTTGATTAAATAACATTTCAATATTACCTTCATTATCGTTCGTGTAAGGTCTCTCACGCTTTCCTGGGGAGACTATTGTCTCATTGTCATTTATCTCATTATCATTTATCGTTGGATCAAACTCACTTGCAGTATATTCAGCCACCCATTCGTCGTCAATCGGAGCGAACAAATCATTCTCCTTTGAATCATATACATTTGAGAAATCAATATCATTTAATGAGTCTTCATTAAAAATATCTTCACGCAGGTCATCATGTTTATCACTAAGTAGTTCATTTGATTCCAGTAGTTCATTTGATTCCAGTAGTTCATTTGACTCTAGTTGTTCATTTGACTCTAGTTGTTCATTAAGATGTTTCACTTCATCATCTTCACCTAAACCTAAACCTATGCCATTTTTATCACTAGGTAGTTCATTTGACTCTAGTTGTTCATCAAAACGTTTCACCTCATCATCTTCACCTAAACCTATGCCATCTTTATCACTAGGTAGTTCATTTGACTCATCAAAATGTTTCACCTCATCATCGTCACCTAAACCTAAGCCATCTTCATAAGATTCTCGTTCAGCAACATATAATTCATCTGTTTCACTATATGTCGCTTGCTTTTGATAATAAGTTTGAGAATCTTCGTCATAAAATTCATCTTCTTCATCATGTTCATCGTTCTCCCATATACTACCATCATCTTCATCACCAGAATAAGGTGGAAGGTCTATATTGTAAATATAAGTTTTAATTATTCAAGGTAAACATGAAAGTACATTTGCTAACGCTTAGAAAACATACCATCGTTTTCTTCTTTAATACTGTTATTTTGTTCGTCATTTACATCTTTAGATAGTGGCAAAGACGCGTCTTTTGATGCTTTAAAAAAAGAATTACCTGTTCCAGATATATGGTCTATTTTTGTTATGACATCTTCACCAGGAGATGTTGACAAATTATTATCGCCATCATCGAAGGGCTCAGGTGATGAGTCTCCGACGATAATTGGATTTTGTGCCCTCTCCCCGACGACATCTGAACATATGATTTTATATAAATATTTAATAATCTATAATATAATAAAATGGTTAACTAATTCATTATTTAATAATGAAAAAACAAGCGTACCATCATATTTTCGATATTGTGAAATGAATCTATCTTGTAAAGTCATTACTACGTGAAGATCTGCCGAATCAAGATCACGAGATTTTCGATATTTATTATGGACATTAATAATTTTACCAAGTGTAAATTTTTGTGAATATTTATTATCCTACGTAAATTATAATTAAGTCTTAACTTGAGTTCAAAATTCAATAAGTAATTTGCGACTATAAAAATACCTGTGACAAAACTAGTCGGAAATCATCAATAGTTGAATCTAAAAACGTCAATACCACTTCACCATCATGTGTTCTGTCACGAATAAGGTCATCTTTGAGATCTTGCATTAACTCTCCCAAGCATTTATCAGACTTGATATATATATGATTCTTTTGGCCTTCATATTCCAAGATGCAACGGGATTGTCCACTATTTGAATGGTCATTTTCTTTTTGGGGTGATCGCTTACCGAAATAAAAATCTGATTCATCTTCTAAATCATCAGGTATAACACCGTCGTCATCGATGTTATCATTATCAATTAATTCATCATCTTCAAGAACGATTACATCGTCATTGAAGGATTCATTAACCGTATCATTCTCATCAACAGTATGTGTTTCGATTTCCTCTGGTAAGGGCCCTGTATCATTCTCATCAACAGTATGTGTTTCGATTTCCTCTGGTAAGGGCCCTGTATCGTTCTCGTCAACCGTATGCGTTTCGATTTCTTCCGATAAGAGCCCTGTATCATTCTCGTCAACTGTATGTGTTTCAATTTCCTCTGGTAAGAGCCCTGTATCATTCTTGTCAAACTTATATACAGGCACTTCTGAAAATGTTGTCTCCGTGTCGACTTGTTCTTGTAACATTTTAGTTTCTTCTACTTGCTCAGATACATCACCTTTAAAATCACGCAAAAATGTTTCGTTACCCTGTTGCGGTTGCTGCTTTTCTTCTTCTTGCTGCCCACTTATCTTCTCAGTATATTTTAGTGAATCTGCTTCTAACAGATTAAAGAACTCAACATCCTCAGCCGAATTAAGTTTATAATCCAATGTGACATCGTCTTCGATCAGAAGGTTGTCGGCGGTTTTAAACCAACTATCGTCGATTTCCTCGTTTACTACAGAGGCGGTCATTTCCTGAGGTTTGTTTACCGAAAGTAACTCCGACATCTAAAAGCGAAGAAAATTAGTAGAAAAAAAACGAATATATAATTAAAAAAATACTTTTAGTAGTTTTGCTTCTCCAAACTTTAATCAAATATCTGAATATTATAAAAACTTTGAGTGTGGTGTGTGATTCTTGTGATTCTTTCTAAATATTTATAAAGGTAACCAATCATACATTTTAAAAAAACATGATCGTCTGAACGTAACATTCATGGAAATACTTTGTGTGATTGGTTATTTTATGAATCAAATAAATCAAACTTGTTATTGTAAAAAAAATCTATATATTATTAATAAATAACCAACTGAGTCGTCGAACAAAATATCTAGTAGTAACTTAGGAAAGTGCCGTTTATTACGTAATTCCAAGAGGGAGGAAGGAGATTTATATATACTGTATAAAAATTATAATTGGCTGCTAATTCGATCACCTAGGAGGACCTAATGAAAAAAACATTACGTAATAAACGACACTTCCCCCTTACGTCGCGTAAACAATAACGACAAATATGTAGAAATATGCTTTTCAATTGTTCATAAATGTATTGACTACGTAACACTATTGCTATTAATATACGGTGTTGGCATTAATTGACCTGATTATCCGTTATCCGATTTGGCTAACGGATTAGAACTCGAGACTAATCAAAGAATTCAATAGATACTGTAAGTGAGAGACAAACATTTATTTATTATAAAATTATTAATAAATCCCGTTTTTAGGACATTAAACAATTTTTTTTTTGCTAGTGATTGGAATGTTACAATTAATTGTAAAAAAAAGAATTTTTTTTTTCACTTAGACAAAGTTATGCAAGTAACTCTGATTATTAAAGTCATCATCTTATAGAAGATTTAAAACAATAAAATTATGATCCTGACATCCTACAGCCACTTTATAACTAACCAATGGTTATCAGAGTGTCTATAGGTGATGATCCACTGTACTGGTAAGGTACAATCAATTAAGATAATACTTTAACCAGAGGGCTTGCTTAACTATCACCTTACAATAGAATATTGCCAATTTGATGACATCTTTTATAGAGAAATAAAAGAAAA